AAGAAACAAACTCATCTACATCTTGTAAATTTTCAGCAAGTTCTCCTCATTTTTTGACAAACTACTCCTTTAAGGTGATGTAGACTTTTTGTCATAATTATTATGCCAAAGCATGATTTTTTTTCTTGTGTAATAGAAATGGGCTTCCATATTAGTTAAACCCATCCATTCAGCAACTGTATATACTTTGTTTCATGTTTTTAAAAGTTTTAGTTTTATTTAATAACCCTGCCTTTTTTTTAGACATCAAGCACTGAGAGTGAAGCACTAGGGATAAATTCAAGCCAAAGCCAAAGTTCAAAGCCTTAATAGTTCTGTTCCAAAAGATAAGTGAACGTCTCACATAAACAGATACTAAATAATGATGTGATGAAAACCCTCTTTAAAACATCCTGTTAACAGATGATGCAATTTGTAGCCATGACTGTGAATACGTGCCTCCGGACACATCTCTGTAGAGGAGCAGATGCACAGTGGACACTTAAAGATTAAATATTATAATAAACAGACAGAAAAGAGGGAACAAGGCTACTACAGTTCTTCCAGGCAATGAGTCACTAAACTAGATCGACACTTATTCAATCCAGGGCTCTCTATTAACTTTATCCATGGCTCTGAGACTTGAACCACAGCAATACAGTCCACAACAGAATAAAACAATATAATACACCTGTTGTTACAAAACAGTTTGCAAAGACAATGTTTTCATTTAACAGATACAATTGCAAAATGGACAGTCTAACTGAGGGGTGTCCAGTCCTGCTCCTGCAGGGCCACTGTCCTGCAAAGCTTAGCTCCAACCCTGAAACAACTAATCAATGTCTTCAAGCAACTTTTAAAAAATCCAGGCAGGTGTATTGGGGTAAGGTGAAGCTAAACTCAGACGCTGTAGTCAAATTTGACAAAATTATTATGAACCCATCGCGTTTCAGGACTTCATCATCTCTTTAACAATGAAGTTTCAGCGACATCTAGTGTCTAGTCTTAAAAGCACATGCATTTTGCTGGGGCCACACTGAATTTATTTGATATTTATTTGAGATGATTTTCTCCCAAGGAATACAAATGAAGAAACAAATGAACATTCACTAAAAACATACAGCTATATACTGTAGGACTACATTAAGCATATAAGAATATCAGAATACCTGTCTCAGTTGAAGATACAGGAAGGACAAAGTCGACCAGGTTTTCCAACAGACTAAGAGCCCTGTCAGCTCTCTGCTCAGCCAGGCAGACAAGCTTGCTGTTAAGGACATAATGTATGCTGTCACTTAAGGCATTCTTACTCTGCTGGTACCCAGTAGATACCTTGTCCAATACAACATTAGAGGTATGTTTGATTGGACAGGCAACATTATCCTTGGCAGTTTCCAAAGTTGATGACACCAGCTCCTTGATGCTTGCTGTTAGCTGTTGTGAAGGAAGCAGAAGAAGGACATTTTTGTTTAAAATACAGACATTTTACTATACTTGTATATGCATCTTAGCTAAATGTGTGCCCACAGTTAAAATAAATACAATTAACAACTTACAGAGCAGTATTAAGAAACCAGTTTTGGATATTTGAAGCACATTACCTCTTCAGGTGGATACTGCAAGGCTGGTACCTTTTCCTCCAAGTGGTCCAGTCCTCTGCAGGCCAATGAGTTGGCTGCTACAACTACGAATAATATAATTTTCATACAAATGCAGAACGTTAATATTTTATAACTTGGTTAAACGTCAAAATATATTAAACACATTTTTCATTAATGCAAGCATATGCTAATTCATTTGGCAAAACACATGAACAGCTTCTTTCAAAATGTTTCCCCAGCTAATGCTAAGCCTTACTAACTCCTCTGGAATTCATGAGGCTGACCTTTAATTTCTGAAATTACTGCTGAACTGATCTGGAATGTTTTTATTGCCTTGTAAATGCCTTGTTAATGTTCATTATAGAAACAGATCCACTACGTATGTGGATGAAATATTGCATACATTATGTACACTACCATTCAAAAATGTATAGAAGTTATTTTTTTAAAACGGGTTTCAAAGAAGACTCTTACACTTTCCAAGCATACTTTTATTTAATCAGAATTATTATTTTTTTATTTTTACAATTTAGAATAACATATTTTTCTATTTTAATATAGATTCGAGGGCTATCAAATCGATTAATCACGGTATCACATCCACAATAAAAGTTTGTGTTTACAAAAATACATGTGTGTGTATTGTGTATATTTATATGTATATATAAATACACACACATACATGAATATATTTATATATATATATATATATATATATATATACAGTACACAAATATATATTACTCAAACACAAACTTTTATTGTGGATGCGATTAATCATGATTAATTGATTTGACAGCCCTAATATTAAACTATAAATTTTTCCTGTGATGCAAAGTTGAATTTTCAGCAGCCATTACTCTTAAGTGTCACATGATTCTTCAGAAAACATTTTTATATGCTGATTTAATGCCCAGGAAACATTTCTTAATATTTTCAATTCCTTTTTGATCAATTTAATGCATCCTTGCTGAATACAAGCATTCATTTCCTTCAAAATAATAATAAAAAAAAGACCCCAATTGATTTTATTTTTGTGGTCTGTTAAATAAATTTGAGAGGGAAAAAAAAGAGAAAGAAATTAATATATATTATGTAGCACCAGACTGCAAAATATTCAGTCATTAGCTCATTACAAAAAGGAAATCTACACAGGAGAGTCAGAGTGCTAGTAACATGTAATTACGTCTCTCAGCGGATTAGTCTTGTGTAATGTTCAAGTGGGCCCTTGAAGGATACAAATATTTAACATTATTGCTCAATTATTCATCTAATCACAGACCAGAGTTCAGTTTTGCAATGCCAGACTATAACCCTCGCTATACTGCATTTCTCAACTTGTATTTGAATTTATGTTACACATATATTTGTACAAAATACACAGGAGGACAAAAACATGCAAAGTTTTTCCCGTTGGGGGGGTCATTCAGAATCTGAGGATTCTGAGACAAGAAAAGCACTTGCAGAAGAAGATGTAACTGAATAGCACTTCCCTTTTTATTATTATTTTTTATTTTGAGTTAAATAAATGATCTTTTACGGTTATCCATTAATATCAATTAAGATCACTATTACATTTCAATTAAAAGACATGCAGTGCAATAAACAGATCACGTTTTAGGTTTGACATTGACCTGAAAGCACAGCATCCACTGGCGGACATGTCAGAAGTAATTCATGAGTCATACTGTGTCTAGACAGACTCTCCCCCACTTGAGCATCAATATCCACGTTTGAAGACCAAAACAGCTCATTAATGTCTCACCAGATTACTTCTTTTGCAGAGTCTCACTAAAACAGACTTTATTGCAAAGCAAAAATAAGACATTAGGCTACTCATTTTGTTTTGTTCTGCCTATATTCCACAGACTGATTTATTGCCAAACTAGAAACTAAACTGCAGTCTCCATTCCTTCACATCAATTTGAACTCATTTGCTTACTGATTGTCCCAAAAACAGAGACATTCTCTAAAAACTGGTCATTTTACTTGCTAATCCTTTTATTTGCACTAGCCCTTATAATAACAGTTGTTGGTAAATCATAATTATGACATAAAATGGTCAAATTTGAGATACAACCTCAAACTGTAATTATGAGATAAATCGAATTTGACGTAAAATTCATATTTGATATACAAATTCAAACTCTGCATAAAAGTTGTAATTATGAGATACAACTTGTTTTCTGACAAACTTTTTATGTAATATTTACTACTTTACGTAATTATATTACAGAATTTGGATTTTTTTTTTATCATTGTTTCATAATTATGATTTACCATAACATGAGCTTCCCCAAACTAGTCATGGTTAAATAAAAAAGAAGAAAAAAAAAAGAGTGAAAGCAATGTAGCCTAGTTAAATTTGACTAAATTGTGATGTACCTATACCAACATCTCTAGTAAGTCACATTTCAGGACTTTAACAATGAAGTTTCAAACTTTTATTTAATAAAAAAGGCCTACTAAATAATC